CCGTTGAAATCGGTACTCTTGTAAAAATCAGCTTTACTAATCTTTAAAGATCCTTAATGATCTTCACTGATCTTTTCATTTGTGAGTGGCATTGCATTTCGAATGATACTTTCATTTACAAATACTCTGTTATAAAAGATGTTTCTTTATGAAAGAGCACATTCAGGAATAGAAAATTTCTTTGAAATTGATACTTTTGTAAAAGAACATCTTTACTAGGGATGCACCAGTCCCCGTTCTGACTGGGACGCAGTCACGGCTGGGTACTGAGTCCTTTGATCTTTAGTCCATTAGTCGAGCAATACTTTCTTCTTTTCTAGTATATTGTCATACAGCGATTCTTAGGCTGTTCAAGTAGCGACATAAATTATGAGACTGAATCCATTGGCTAATCATATATTTCTATATATCAATTGTTATAATTTAAAATACTATAAATAAATTTCATGTCTTCACAGTGTGGGTATGGCTAGGGTGTAGGTGTGGGTGGATAGGTGTGGGTATGGGTGTTGTTTGGACGGATATGGGTGTAGGTGTTGTTTGGATTTGGAAATGGTTAGAATGGCAATAACGACACTCATACCAACATCAAACCAACATCCACACCCACACTCTTAGAAAAGAGGGAAGTAATGATCGATTAGCGGAATAAACGTCAACTGACTAAGTACCCAGTCCGACTTGGATCCAGTTATTGGCACTGGTGCACACCTAATCTTTACAAGTCTTTAAAGATCTGTAATGATTTTTAATCCTTTGGTTACGGGGTTTTTTTTAGGGTAAATACTTTTTTTTCGTTCTAAAACAGTCTGAAATAATTTATTAATATATAGAAGCATTTAAAAGTGTTTTAAAGTATGATAATCCTTAAAACAACCTATCACACAAAGCCCAACGTTACAAACATCACATTGATAACGTGTATTGGTACATTTTTTCTCTCGTCTGCTTGTATGATTGCAAACTATACAAGCTCTTCGTCCAGTGTTTCCTGTTGCTGTTGCTGGAATTAGAGATGGAAAATGACGTGCAGTAAGACGTATGGGATTATCTCCCTTAATCGGACGACCGATTGGATGTTTGAGATCAGCGTATCGTTCGATCAATTGTCGGATCAATTTAATTCGAAAATCACCAAATTGAATAGTTTTTTTATGCTTCATTTTGAAAAGCATATACGCGTTCAATGTTGATAAATCCAGTAGATGAAAAAAAAAATTTCTTGTACCACTTGACAGTTTTTCGTACGCATTCTGTAAAACTGATCTGCATATCAGTTTTGTCTACTGACCCCATGTTATCATTATACTCAACTATACATTCGGGTTTTGCAATTACTTTTTGAGTCTTCCAGTCAGTTTTTTGTGTTGGAATCATCCTCGGTTTGTGAATTGTAGACAACATAATGACTTCTCGTTTATCTTGCCATTTCAAAGCCATAAGAATGTTAGTATTGTTATAGTCAAAATCACCTTTCGTCAGTGGACTGAACATGACTGGACCAAGACGATTTTTACGTATAGTTCCACATGCACCGGTTTTGAATTTATGTAATTTTTCGAATTGAAGAGGGCTAGTATACCAATTATCGAGAAAAAGTGAATGTCCCTTGTTCAAATACGGCTTCATCAAAGTCATTACTACAGAACCGGATTTTCCTAAATTTTTATCGAGCTCAACTTCCGTAGAAGAACCCGTGTATAGAATGAAATCCAAAACCACTCCTGTTTGGCAGTAGCAGATAACGAATACTTTGATACCGAATCGATGATGTTTAGTAGGTATAAATTGTTTGAAGGCCAAACGACCCTTCCAAAGAACGAGACTTTCATCTATGCATAAGTTTTTGTAAGGAACAACAAGTAATTTGAATTTCTTCCGTAGCTCATTTATCACTGATTTGATTTTATGCAATCTATCGTCGTCCACTTGATTTGATTTATTGATAAAATGCAAGTATTTCAAAAGCATCATAAATTTGTCTCTAGGAAATAGTTGTCCGAACATAGGTGTGACAATCATTGGATCAATTGACCAGTAGTCGAGGATCTTATTTTTTTTAGTTACGGACATTAGCATAAAGGTCGCTAAAAAAGTGTATATTTCCGAGCAATTTGTCGGTACCCATTTCGTCTGATGCGAAATTGTATGATGTGTTGCATCATCGGTAGAAAAGTCGTGATACTTGTTCGTTTGTTCTACGATGATATCAATCATTTTTTCGTCAAATAATAATTCGAAAAAATTAAGAGGAGTATCGCTCTTCATAGCGCTAATTATTGATGAAACACCAGAGTTTTGTTCGTCGAAGTGGAAGAGATGTGGCTCAAAAGCAGTTTTACTCCAGTTTCGATTTACAGATTGTTCTTTCTGTGCTAGTCTGTCGTTTGATTCGTCGCTATCCACGTCTGATGAATAAACTTCACCAATGTCCATTTCGGAATCATGTTCAGATCCACTATCAATCTGGATTTCATGAGAATCACCATATGTAAACGTTGCCATCTTTCGCGAAAAATTTTACGTAATAGATATGAATAATAAATTGTTTATATGAAAAGGCACGTATAGAATAATGAAAGTTTATTTCTATTTCCTAAGAATATATATCGAAAGATATAAGTAGCTTCTTGTTTAGAATGTGCAGTTTTATATATATGCGAGAACGCATTGAAAAGAAAAAGAAAAACAATACACCAGAATATATTACAAAAAGTAGAATGTGAGAAGCAGACGTGTCAGAACGCAAGAGAGAGCACATAAATGCGCACATAGTTATTCGTGACGATGACGTAATAATATTACCAAGATAAGAAAAAAAGAAAGGAGTCTTTTCGATCGAGTCTAAATGATATTGTAATGACAGTAATATCTGCAAAACTTCAAATACTTTATATGGGTGTTCCGTAACCAAAGGGTTAATCATGTTTAGGGGTGTCATTTATTGTTTACTTTATAATAAATATAAATTATGAGAAATTTATATTTATTATAATTTATATTTTTTTTTGTATATAAATCTTTTACTTTTCGTAATTTATCAAATATAAATTAAATAAATTATCATATTTCCGTATGATACTTTACATAAGAAATATCCTAGTCTTAATATTATTTCTATGTATAATTTATTTGTTGTACTATCTTTTCATTCAATTAATAGTTCTTAATTTGCGAAATGATCTCACTACTTATCATGATGAGTTTTTCAAAGAAGAGTCAAATCAGATTTTACAGACTAGGAAAATAGAAAACGCCACAAAGTGTTGATGAAAAGCTTAAAACATTTTTCGCAAACTAAACACCTATTAGAAATCACATATTATTTTTGATCAAATGTGGTCAGAACTTTTAGATGCAAAAGTAGGTTTTTTCTCTACATGGCTAAGTTTTATTCCAATGTAATTAAGTGACGAATTAATGTTAAGTTTCGAACATTTCTCATATACAATAAATATTTATTAGGCTTTTCCAAATAGTTTTTTGGCGTGCATGAGGAATATTTTAAGACATACCATGTTTATTCTAATGTTATTTATTAACTACTTTTGATAAACAGTTTCTTCAGATATACATGATACAGATAGAAAGAAAACAATAGGCACAGAAACTCTTAAATCATCACGTAAAATTGTTTTAGTATTGTATTTGTGTCTCATTGAAGATGCTGTTTTACTTCGACTGATATGAGAGATGTTTAAGTTCTTATTTCTACGTAGTAATTACTTCTATAATTCGATATTGAAACGAAGACTTTTGACTTTCATCATACACCATATTTTTCTAATCTTAAAATAAGACTAATCAAATCCGTCTTTTATAGTTATTTTTATCTTTCTCGATAGAAGAAACTTTAAAATATGCACTTGTCAATATGACTTTGTAAACAATAGGTTTAAGATGCTGTTAAAAAAAAAAATCTGCTAAATTGTAATGATCGTATAGGCTACGAAATCATTTTTTCTTTTTTAAATATTTAGTTATTACAGTTTCCAATATGCCAAGAACGATCAGACTTACGAGGGAAGGTCTTCAACTGTCCAATCCCTTTTGAGTTCGGACTTTGTGCAAAAGATAGACCCCAGTGAAGTATGAAAAACCCTAAAAGATTAAATGCTCTTAGGTCTTCTGTCCAAAGTTCTAGGCATTTTACTGGAATTTTAGCTTATCGCATGGTACATAACAATAAATCGAATGACAGTATTTCGACCTGAGATTTTGCCTATAGGCAAGTCTATTTGTGAGTGGAATGTCCTGAAAATTTCAGCTGAAAAGGATGTTCTCTTCCAGAGATATTTAAGTCCCAAAAATGACTCATATACTAGAAGAGATGCTAGAATTTTCTGTTTTTTGGGACTTAAATATCTCTAGAAGGAAATGTCCTTTTCAGCTGAAATTTTCAGGACATTCCACTCATAAATAGACCTACCTGTAAGCAAAATCTCGGGTCGAAATGCTATCATTCGATTTATTGGTATATAGGATGCCATAGGTTAAAATTCCAGTAAAATGCCTATAACTTTGGACAGAAGTTCTAAGGATATTTAATCTTTTAGGGTTTTTCATACTTCACTGGGGTCTATCTTTTGCACAAAGTCCGAACTCAAAAGGAATTGGACAGTTGAAGATCTTTCCTCGTTAGAGAGCAGTATTTATGACTCTTTATACTAACAATAAGAATTGAACATTTTAACTTTAACCATGAAAAATGAATACTGCAAAGGTACTCCTATCCAAAGAAACTGAAACTATAATATAGAAAAACTTCATTAGTTTTTATAAGACTAGAAAAGTTTAATATTGGATGGCAGTCAAAAGTCATCATTTTAAGTTTGCTATTGTAGAAATCATTACCATGAATAATAACTTAAACTTCAGTCCTATTAGTCGAAACAAATTAGCTCATTTAAAAAAAACACAATACGGATATTCAAACATTTTTACGTCATGATTATAATAACATAGTAGATAATAAAACGAATAATAACATATAGTTCTGATCAATTGGAATCAATATGATGTGGTTCTAAATTTTGTAATATCATTGAATATCTTAAAGTTGTTGCAGATAATGATGAACGGTGTTTTCGTTGTATGTATCCGGCCATTGAAAATGCACTTTCGCTTGCAACTGATGTTATTGGCATGATGCAATAATGTCGCACCATACGACTTAATATAGGCAAATAATGTTGATTTTTATTCCAATATTCTTGGAAATCAGTTTCTTTTTCAATAGAAGATATGTAATAGCCAATTTCTTGTTGAATCGTAAATATTTTTGTTGAAGGTATTGATGATGATGTTGGTAATAATGCTTCACAATTAGATAAAAATTTTTCAATTGCCAGTAATGGTTTTTTCACCATTTTTGGAATAGAACTTGTTAAAGGTGTTGAATTTGATGAAGACAAACGTGCTGATGCAAATTTTTCACTTTTCGATTTTAATACAATCAATTGTTTTGCTCTTTTAATGAATTTGTCATCTTCATGCAAATAAAAGTATGTTGTTGGATTGAGAAAAGAAGCAATCTATGTGAATAATAAGAGAAAAAAATACCAAAAGATAATTATTAACTAAATGTCCTTTTTACGATACACTAGGATATTTTCGCTATGATGTTGTATGTGTATCGATCTACTTATAAATAGTTCAATTAAAATAAGCAGTCGGTAGGCACATGTGAGGCTAAGGCTTTAGTCTCCAATCGATCTCAGTCTAGAGAAAATTGTTCGAGAATTTAGTTGTATATCATCTAAAAGGATTCTTCAACAATTTTTTTATGCAATGAATCGATGACAAGGATCTTTTCTGTTTGTCACTCTTCAGTTATGTTCTCCTTCATATAATTGACAATAGAACTTCCTTAAAGTCATAGACTAATTTACTACGAACTTGAGTTCTGGCTCCAACGAATTCTTTTTTCATGGTTCTGACTATAATTCTACTGAACGAATCTGGATCAGCCCCACATCTTTATTTATGATATGTTTTTGTTTTTCTACCATAAAATGTAAATATGGTAATAGTAAATTCATTTATACTATATGAAATACTTCACTTGAAAAGGGAGAATGTTGAGAATACCTCAGTCTCGGATTTCAATTCAAGTATTGGTACAGTCTTGCCATGGTTTGGGTTCCGCAATATTTCTAGCAGTGACATTGATTTGCATATGTAAAAATAGCAGTTATCTAATTATAGAGAATGCTTTCGTTAGATATTGGATAGGTGTCAGACAAAAAAAATGTTATAATTGATATTTGGTTACATGACATGGGGTTATGCTTACCAAACTGAACTAAAATGCTGTTAAGACGAATCTAGTATACTTACTATGATTGCTTCTTCAGCTTCAGCACTAAAATTTTTTTCACAATATTCTTCATATGCTTTTAACAACAATGTTTTTAAATGATTTATCATCGGTTCATTAGGTTTTTGATGTGATAAGAAGTGTTTTAAACCATTTAATATCATTTTACCAAGTGAAAGTGTTTGATATGTTTTACCAGATAATAAAGTTGTTGATTCTTCAAAACGTTGAAGCACGAATTCTAATGCTGATAACCAATTCCAGTCGTCATGACTGAAAGCTAATTTCGATAATTTTAAAACTTGTTGAGATTCCACACCATCAATATTTCTTGGTGTAAATGTAACATCATTTACTACTGAACTTAATTTATTAAATCGGTGTAGCATCATGAAGGTGGAACTCCATCGTATTCGAAAATCAATAACTAATTCATTATATACTATAGGTTCAGTATTATCTTCTTTCGCCCGTTTATTCGCCTCTTCTTGTTTTAAAGAAATTTGATCTCGAACATATTTATCAATATTGCTAGAACGATGTATTGTTTTAATGAGTATACGTGTTCGTTGTAGTAAAATGTATATAAATTCTTTTGAATACGGCATTAATGCATGTTCAGTTTCATTTTCCACAAATTTGTCATGATGTGGATGTTGACTAAGTGAATCTTCATCTTCAACACTACCTTCTGAAGATGAATCTTCATAATCCGAATCTTCATTATAAGCATAATCAGTAACTAATTCACTATCTGAAGCATCATCACAATTTGAATCATTAATTTCAATATCATCTTCATAAATTTGATCTTCATCATCAATATTAGTATAACCAATTTGTTGTTCTTCTTGTTCATCATCTGTTGTGACTTGAGTAGAAGCACGCTTTCTAGGAAAATTGGAAAGGTTAAGAAACGTACTTTCTAAAAAAAATCTCATTTGAGAAAATCTTTTTTTTTTTATTTAATTTATCTAGAATTGATCAACCGTCAAATAGCTATAAGGGTAATAAGAATAGTTTTGTTTTAGAGATCATACAACACAATTAACAATGAATTTTGATAAATACAATAGAAGTATAGGAATGCAAATAATACAATTCTTTTTGTCTATTTTATAATTTATCTATTTTATGTTAGATATTGTTTTTTGTAATGGAAGCATGGTAAATATGATAGTTCGACCTCCATTATTTATCAGAACGTATCCTGAGATAATATGAGAAATAAATTTTTTTTTTTTGATAGATTTTATCACTAATATTCGACAGTATGAAATAGCTTGTTGTTGCTATTATTCTTATGTACAGAATTGAGGATAAATGATGTCAACTCAATTATCTGTCATTGTTTAAACATTGAAAATTTTTACATAAAATCAATATTTTAAACATCGTAATAAATAAACCCTCATCAATTTCATGCACAATAATTATAACAATAATAAACTGTTTGGTACTGTTGAATAATATTGATAAAAAAATGAATTTTTCTTAATATCTGAAGAATGACTTCTGATAAATAATGAAGGTCGAACTATTATGTTTATCAAGTTTTCATTTGACAAAAAACGAACATTTAGCATAAAATAGATAAATTATCAAATAGAAGAAAAGAATTGTTCCGGTTGGACTCATATACTCCTAGTCTACTTGTCAAGATAATAAATAGCCGCTCAAAATTCAACAAACTTATAACAATGAAACTGCTTTTATTATTTAATGAGACTTTCCTTGCAACCCATCTGAGTGCTACAATTCATGATATCGATTACTAATATAAAAATCGTAGCGACTCGATAACATTTGAAGATATGACATTGATTGAATTATTAATCTTCTTTTCTAAAGACTTTTCATCAGAAACTCACATAATTCAGATTACAGTGCGATACTTGGTGAAGCATGCCTAATAACGCTTTCTTCACATATGCTAATATTCATCATCAACGGCCTAGCTATCAGTCCGCAGTGTTGCGCCCAGTGACTGGAAACTGTTCTTCTGCCATGAAACTTTAGCTTCCCCATCCTACACTTCAATAACTGAATGACAATGTCAAACAGAGCGAATTAATATTCTCTAAGTCACAATGCATATAAATCAATATGTTGCAAGGAAAGTATAATTATTTGGTTAAAACACTTTTGTGAAAGATCCGCTTGTTAAAAAAAAGCAGCTAATAGTGTTATAAGTTTATTATTTCATCTTAGCTATTTTTAGCTGTATTCCAATATAAAATAACTTTTGAACCTATGATGATTTCCTTGATCGTTGTTTCTCAATGCTGGTGAGTCTGCTGATAAATTTATGCCTAGAATGGATACGACAAAGGGTTTCAATACATTTATGCTTAGTATGTACTCAGCTAAACAGTTTAAGCTTTCGATGCCCTAATTTAGTGTGAGTTCCAGATAGACTCATCAACATCCATTGAGAGTGAATAGTTATGAACGGTTGATGAATATATAATTAAGAAATGATGTCGCATAGCATACTATTTAGAAAAAGTCAAGAAATCTGAATTTTAAAATCTACTAATATTAGTTTTTTGCAAAAAAAAACGAACAATGCGATACAATCAAAAATTTCTTACTTTTCTTCCCACCAAATACCAAGACCATTTATTACAGTCAAATTCATCCCATGTGCTAGACATGGAATATGAATTCCAAATTCTTTCGTATTAACAGCCAATTTGATGCTCGGCTATAATGAAATAAAAAATTTTATATGGTTCAGAAATCTATACTGATAGCTAAAAACCTTTGAGTCATGTACTTCTTAGTTCTGTTGAGTAAAATATGTAAGAACTTACTGCATTATCTGTTGTAATGGAACAAATTTTATTATTGATTTTTAATTTGTTTAATTCAGAACGGATAAATTGACGTATACGTAAAGCAAAGCCACGTCCAATAAATCGACGAAATGATATAACTTTAGATAAATATCCAAATTCTGTATCATAATAATGTGCTGTAATACAAACAAAATGAATACGACGAGGACTAGACCAAGTGTCCGCTGTCAATGCAATATCACTAACAGAAGATAATTCATCAATTAAAGCTGTACGATATGAACCATATAAAGCTGCCATGCGTTGTCTGATTGTTGTACGATGTGGACCTTTATAATTCATATCAGGCAAAACAACTTGCAGAAAATGTTGAAACCCTTCCTTACGAAAATCACCAAATGGACGAGAGTCTTTTATAACGGCATAGATCAAAGCATTATCTAGTTTTTCTTTCCAATCAGCAGATAAGAGTTGTGGCTTTACTTGTTGCCGTGAACGTTGAGATGGATATAGCACATGTGTAAGTTTATGTTTACGTGCCAAATGAATACGTAAATTCGAATCAGAATAAGCTACTTCTTTGTGAACCTGAAACAAAAGAAATTATTAAGTATTTCTTACTATTAGCATTCGCATGTATATTAGACAAATACAGAGAATCTCAATAAATCCAAGAAACTCAGGTCTGATGCTGAAGATCGTAATTATTATAAGACTTAGCGGTAAAATAGTAGTGATAGTTCCAGAACGTACATAGTTTTAACCAATAAAATTGAATCATCTATTTGCATAGTTCATGAGAGTGTGTTTAAAGAGATAGCAATACTGTTAAACAGGCTCTATATTATTTTTCGAGATTATAGTAAATTTACAAAATGAAGAAACATGACGTCTTCATTAGCGAAATATTATACTTTTGTAAAATTGACAGATAAAAAGAAGAATGGTGCATCATTAAACTCATTCAGACGAGAAGTTATCGAATAGTTTGAGAGTATCTTCTCTCCACTTTCGTGACTCATGAGTTTTGTGTTTTACATTTTTTATTTTTCATGGCCCTGGTAGTCTCAGATGATATCTATCTATTAACCGAATTTTGGGATCTGAATATTATCTTTAAACTGTAAAAAAATTAAAAAAGAAATCAAAGTTACGTAGCTATAATAGCGAAACCTGGACGTAGTTGAGCTTTTCTTTCAGAACAACTTTTTCATGAAAAAAGTGCGTAGTTCCCTCCATTCCTCTGGTATGATAATTCCAATCCACTTCAAATGTTTTTCAAATATCATAGACATAGTTTGTGGTGAGCATTTTTTTGGTTTCAAAAATTATTGTTCTGCTCATTGTTTTTGACTCTTACAAAAGAAGTGCTGTTCAAAAAATCAAACATTTTTTTAATAGTATTTTGGACATTTTCGCTTTTTTTATTCCTGGGATAAAAGATAAAGGGCAACCAAAACTCCTCAATCTAAACAATGTCTGGTAACTGTTGAAAAAATTTTCAACTCGACCAAACGTAGAATACAGAAAAACAAGAGCGAAGATTAAAGCAATTTTTCGCAATTGCGAACCCCATATCTCGTAGAAGACAACACCCAGTAACTGTAAGTCTATGACAACTTTTGCTCTACTTATCAAGATGTGCATGTCTTGCAAATTTCAAATTTTTATGATGAGCCGTTCTCCAGATATCTCGAAGACGGAGCGGGCTATCCTTGATGTATGAGCAGTAGTTGAATGATTTTTCCTATCACGTACTTCTATTTTTCTCAGAAGCCGAGAAAGTGTATCGAACATATGCACTGGACAGAACTCCGAACATTTTATAATCTTCCACAATGGGATGATATTAGAACATTAGTTTTCTCTAAAAAAAAGTAATTAAGTGACTGTCTACGTGTGTACTCGTGCAAATTCGTCTTATAACTGCTTACATCAGTAGAAGCTTTTCCGTTTCAATAGAGCTTTCTGTCCTATCTAATGATTGCTTCAGCCAAAACACACTAGTTCCAAAATACGGGATTCTGTAAGAAGAGTTGGTTGTCCAGCAGGGTTAGGAATTAATCCAAATATTCGGTTTTTTATTGGATAAATATTGATAATGTCCCTGTCAAACAATATTTATTTTAGGAAATCAAGCACTACATTAGACACATTTGTATACAAGATTTTTTTTTTATTGTCTGATACAAATGAGTAACTGATTTCACTTAAAGATGAAAGCTTGATTTCATGTATGAATTTCTCTTTTTGTGTATATGATAAGGAAATGGATATAAGTAAAATATGTCTTTCCTAATATGAGTATTTTCTGACTGCTTCTCTCATATTAAAATGTAATATCTTCCTTGACTTTCTTTTTGTCTTTAAATTAGCTTTTTTTTTCTCTCTTCTGGAGATGTAAATGACTCTATATGTTGCAAATGGAGGTATACGAAAATCATTTTTTCCTATGTAATGTTAGAGCATATAAACGTACCTTGTTAGAATTTTTGGTACCAGTACATAGTTTGCAATGATAACCGCCAGTATCAAGTTTCGTAAAATATTGTTTTAATAGTTCATGTTTTGTAATTGTTCGTCTATTTTTGTTGTGATTTTCAACTGAAGTAGGTGAATTATCATCATCAGGCTGTTGAGATGTTTCCATATTTTCCGTTGCTGTTGATGCAGATGAAATATTTAACAGATCAATATCTTGGTCTAAATGATCATCTTCACCTTCATTGCTAATTCCTGTTACATGTTGACCTAAATTACTTGTTGATCTTTGTGGTGTTGTTATTTTTGATTGTATTTGTGAGTTTCTTGAACGACGAGAACTTGGAGCAGATTTTCGTCGAGATATACCACCATTTTTAATACCAAGAGTAGAAGCATTCTTTGGATTTTTTCTTGATTGTCGATCATTAAAAGATTGATCAACTCGCATAATCTCTGCAGTCGATGATGCAGATTTTTTTGAACTTTTTGATGGTCGAGATGACGAAGATGCCATTGAAATCGAAGAAATAAATACTTGTAGTATGAGAATTGTAAATTTATTTGAAAATTTAACCAACGAATTGAACAGAGACAAATGAAAACAATGTAATAGATATTTTCTATTTTATTTTTCTCTGGCTGGCTAGGAAGAAAATGGAGACAATTCGATAGTCTAATGAGCTCATTATCAAACTGGACGTAAACAGTATCATCTCCTTATTATTTTTTTTTCTTCCTATTTTTGAATAATCTAGGTTCCAACGAGTTTG